GGACCCACCTTCGCTGGGCCTCCCAGGAGCCCACGAAAGTGGCGACAGTTGCGCAGATCGCAAGCCCCCAAGGGGCGGCGAGGTACCGAGGTGATCCGCGTGGGCCCCGCCTCCGCTGGGCCTCCCAGGAGCCCACGAACGTCCCCCCAGAGGGCGACGAGGTACCGAGGTGATCCGCGTGGGACCCACCTCCGCTGGGCCTTCCATGAGCCTACGAATGTGTCGACAGTTGTGCAGATCGCAAGCCCCCCATGGGGGCGGCGAGGTACCGAGGTGATCCGCGTGGGACCCACCTTCGCTGGGCCTCCCAGGAGCCCTCGCAAGTGGCGACAGTTGCACAGATCGCAAGCCCCCCAGAGGGCGGCGAGGTACCGAGGTGATCCGCGTGGGACCTACCTCCGCTGGGCCTCGCAGGAGCCACCGACAAAGTGGCGACAGTTGCGCAGATCGCAGCCCGACGCGTGGGACCCACCTCCGCTGGGCCTCCCAGGAGCCCACGAAAGTGGCGACAGTTGCGCAGATCGCAAGCCCCCCCCCAGGGGGCGGCGAGGTACCGAGGTGATCCGCGTGGGACCCACCTCCGCTGGGCCTCGCAGGAGCCCACGAAAGTGGCGACAGTTGCGCAAAACGCAAGCCCCCCAGGGGGCGGCGAGGTGCCGAGGTGATCCGCGTGGGACCCACCTCCGCTGGGCCTCCCAGGAGCCCACGAAAGTGGCGACAGTTGCGCAGATCGCAAGCCCCCCAGGGGGCGGCGAGGTCCGAGGTGATCCGCGTGGGACCCACCTCCGCTGGGCCTCCCAGGAGCCCACGAAAGTGGCGACAGTTGCGCAGATCGCAAGCCCCCCAGGGGGCGGCGAGGTACCGAGGCGATCCGCGTGGGACCCACCTCCGCTGGGCCTCCCAGGAGCCCACGAACGTGGCGACAGTTGCGCAGATCGCAAGCCCCCCAGGGGGCGGCGAGGTACCGAGGTGATCCGCGTGGGACCCGCCTCCGCTGGGCCTCCAAGGAGCCCACGAAAGTGGCGACAGTTGCGCAGATCGCAAGCCCCCAGGGGGCGGCGAGGTACCGAGGTGATCCGCGTGGGACCCACCTCCGCTGGGCCTCCCAGGAGCCCACGAAAGTGGCGACAGTTGCGCAGATCGCAAGCCCCCCCAGGGGGCGGCGAGGTACCGAGGTGATCCGCGTGGGACCCACCTCCGCTGGGCCTCCCAGGAGCCCACGAAAGTGGCGACAGTTGCGCAGATGCGCAGATCGCAAGCCCCCCAGGGGGCGGCGAGGTACCGAGGCGATCCGCGTGGGACCCACCTCCACTGGGTCTCCCAGGAGCCCACGAAAGTGGCGACAAATGCGCAGATCGCAAGCCCCCCAAAGGGGCGGCGAGGTACCGAGGTGATCCGCGTGGGACCCGCCTCGGCTGGGCCTCCCAGGAGCCCACGAAAGTGGCGACAGTTGCGCAGATCGCAGGCCCCCCAAGGGCGGCGAGGTACCGAGGTGATCCCACCTCCGCTGGGCCTCCCAGGAGCCCACGAAAGTGGCGACAGAGCAGATCGCAAGCCCCCCAGAGGGCGGCGAGGTACCGGTGATCCGCGTGGGACCCACCTCCGCTGGGCCTCGCAGGAGCCCACGAAAGTGGCGACAGTTGCGCAGATCGCAAGCCCCCCATGGAGGCGGCGAGGTTCCGAGGTGATCCGCGTGGGACCCACCTCCGCTGGGCCTCCCAGGAGCCCACGAACGTGGCGACAGTTGCGCAGATCGAAACCCCCCGGGGGGGCGGCGAGGTACCGAGGTGATCCGCGTGGGACCCACCTCCGCTGGGCCTCCCAGGAGCCCACGAAAGTGGCGACAGTTGCGCAGATCGCAAGCCCCCCAGGGGGCGGCGAGGTACCGAGGTGATCTGCGTGGGACCCACCTCCGCTGGGCCTCCCAGGAGCCCACGAAAGTGGCGACAGTTGCGCAGATCGCAAGCCCTCCAGGGGGCGGCGAGGTACCGAGGTGATCTGCGTGGGACCCGCCTCCGCTGGGCCTCCCAGGAGCCCACGAAGTGGCGACAGTTGCGCAGATCGCAAGCCCCCCGGGGGGCGGCGAGGTACCGAGGTGATCCTCGTGGGACCCACCTCCGCTGGGCCTCCCAGGAGCCCACGAAAGTGGCGACAGTTGCGCAGATCGCAAGCCCCCCAGGAGGGGGCGGCGAGGTGCCGAGGTGCCACGTGGGACCCACCTCCGCTGGGCCTCGCAGGAGCCCACGAAAGTGGCGACAGTTGCGCAGATCGCAAGCCCCCAGGGGGCGGCGAGGTACCGAGGTGATCCTCGTGGGACCCACCTCCGCTGGGCCTCCCAGGAGCCCACGAAAGTGGCGACAGTTGCGCAGATCGCAAGCCCCCCAGGGGGCGGCGAGGTACCGAGGTGATCCGCGTGGGACCCACCTCCGCTGGGCCTCCCAGGAGCCCACGAAAGTGGCGACAGTTGCGCAGATCGCAAGCCCCCCAGGGGGCGGCGAGGTACCGAGGTGATCCGCGTGGGACCCACCTCCGCTGGGCCTCCCAGGAGCCCACGAAAGTGGCGACAGTTGCGCAGATCGCAAGCCCCCCATGGGGGCGGCGAGGTACCGAGGTGATCCTCGTGGGACCCACCTCCGCTGGGCCTCCCAGGAGCCCACGGAAGTGGCGACAGTTGCGCAGATCAGAAGCCCCCCCCAGGGGGCGGCGAGGTACCGAGGTGATCCGCGTGGGACCCGCCTCCGCTGGGCCTCCCAGGAGCCCACGAAAGTGGCGACAGTTGCGCAGATCGCAAGCCCCCCAGGGGGCGGCGAGGTACCGAGGTGATCCGCGTGGGACCCACCTCCGCTGGGCCTCGCAGGAGCCCACGAAAGTGGCGACAATTGGTGGCGACAGTTGCGCAGATCAGAAGCCCCCCCCAGGGGGCGGCGAGGTGCCGAGGTGATCCGCGTGGGACCCGCCTCGGCTGGGCCTCCCAGGAGCCCACGAACGTGGCGACAGTTGCGCAGATCGCAGCCCGACAGCACGATGGAAGAGGAGAGGGGAACACCAGAAACAGGAGAGAAGGAGGAGGGGATGAGAGGGGAGGAGAAGGAAGGAAGGAAGGAAGGACGGGGCGACCACACTGTTCTATTCAGAATGAGTACCCAACACAGGAGGGTTGGGAAAAAAGGGGACAGAATGCACACAAACGCGTCGTCGTGCGCCCACGCCGGAATCCTTCAAACACCTTCCGTGTCGTACGGTTTTCAAGATCGAGTGGCCCAAAGCATATAGAAACGGGTTTCGCAACAGGAGTTTTCAAACAAATCTGTGCTCGTGCTCTGGAGAATTCTTGAGGCATCCATGTTTTTTTTCAACACTTCCATCCAATCATTCGGACACCCTTGTGCGCGTGCTGTCGCAAAAATCTCTTGCAACAAATTGGGCAAAGTGCACGCGCGCGCGTCGTCGCGCGCGCATGCCGAAGCCCCTCAAACATTTTACGTATCGGAATAATGTCAAAAACGATTCTCCCGAACGCACACACAAGCGCATACACACATACATACACACACATATACATATATATATATATGTTTTTGTGCATATAATCAAAATGGTTTTGGCAACACCAGTTTTTGGAACACATTGTTTAATGCAACATATGGCATGCGAGCGCTCTTGCGAATTCTTTACTAAACTGTAGTTTTTTCAGCATTTTCATCGAATTCGACCAAACGGGCCTTTCGCGCCGCATGTGGAAATCGTTCGGACGCCCTTGCGCGAATGTTATGGGCACGATCCCTGTCAAATCATACAGTGCGGGCAACTCGCGCGCGTCGGCCGCGCGCGCATGTCAAACTCCTTCCAAAACCTTCATCACCGACGCGAGGACACCGTCACCGTCATCGGCGTGATCAGCATCGGCGCAGTCATTGGCCTTGCCGTCGTCATCGCCATCATCGACACCATCATCGCTAGTACCATCATCGTGTCTACCGATGTCAGCGTCGCCGTGGTGCCGCGCCCGGTCAAGTCACCGACTCGCACTGAAAAGCCCGCTGGGAAATGCCCAGTGGTCAGCGCCGCAGCGGCCGCGTCAGTCGCGCCAAACTAGCTGGCCATAGTGCGCGCGAGCATGCGCGGGCCTGCAGGTTCTTAGGAAATCCATCTTTTTCAACATGTTCAGAACATGCTACCAAACGGGCATCTCGCGCGTGCGTGTCGAAATCGTTCGAACGCCTTTGCGCGCGTGCTGTCGCAATAATCATGTGCAAGAAATGGGAAGAATTGCGCATGCGCGCGTCGTCGCGCGCGCATGCCGGAACCTTGGTGTTCGTAAGGTTCCCCAAAGCGAGTGCGTCGGCCGCGCTTGCAAATTGAATCTTCCAAACCTTCATCACCGACGCGAGGACACTGTCATCGTTATTGGCGGGCGTGATCAACATCGGCGCCGTCATCGGTTTTGCCGTCGTCATCTCCACCATCGTCACCATCATCGCTTGTTTTATCTCCGTGTCTACCGTTGTCGGCGTCGCTATGATACCACGCACGCCCAAGTCATTGACTCCCTCTGAAGTGCCCGCCGTGAAGTGCTCAGCGGCCAGCGCCACCGCGGCCGCGTCGGTCGCGTCGCAATAGCTGGCCGCTGCGCGCGCGAGCATGCGTGGGCTAGCGCGGCCGCAGAGATGCACCAGCTAACGCCAAACTCTCATCACAATCGCCGTCACAGGAGTTTTGCAAACCAAGTTGCGGGCGGGTGGGTGGGATGATTGCGTGAGCAGTGGAGTTGATAACTCACTGCGGGCACGGGTGAATTGCACCACATAGGTGGCTCCACATAGAATGCATACACTACGCATATCGTTAGAAGCACACTGTTTTGGATCCGAGGTGGCTCACATTTTGTAGTCAGCCGTTGGCAAACATGTTTGGGTTGTTTATTATTGCATGTTCTTCCCTTCCCATGCGCCCGCTTTCCTCCTTTTCTATTTCCTCTCCCCGCCACCTCTTACCGCTAGGCATGGAGGGACATGCAACTGCACGCGGAATTCCATACCGAGGCGGAGAAGCTTGCTGAGCAGGAGGCAAAAGGGGCCTCCAATCTTGCAAGGACTCGCTTTGTTGCGATTTTACTCTCCTTGTCATCCGTTCCTTCCTAGGGATCCCGCCTTCTCAGAGTGCTCAGGTATAGCTCGCGCTATGAAGGCGTGGGCAGAATCACACTCATAGACATGTGTGCAACCCACCTTGACTCAGGGTGACTTGTCTGCTTCGTGAAGCAAGCAGTCAGTGGTTAGTTGGCTGGCCTCTTGCGACTTCAGGCGCCGTGTTCCTCACGCGAATCCTCTGCTTAATTATGATGCGGTGTGCTACGCTATGATGTGCTAGGCTATGGTTTGTACTGCCATGCTGTGCTGGTGCTCTGCGATGGCGATGCTATTCTATACAATCCTCTGACATGAGAGTGTTATGTAATACTGATGTGTTGCGACGTGCATGCTGTACCAATGCCAGGCACTTGGTCATGCGATGCGGTGCTATGCTCGGCCAGCCCAGTGCTATGCTGTAACAGCAATGTTGGCAATCTGTGCCATGCATGGCTGTGATCTACCATTGCCACCGCGACCGCCATGCTATGCCAATGGTGTACTAGACTAGTGTGATGCTGCCATGCTCTGCCATGATGTGCCTTTCTCTTAGTATTATGGGGCATCACATGCTGTGTCTTGCTATGATTTCCGCTGCTAGGCACTATGCCATTCAAGCGGAGGCCGTGCAACATGGCCCGCTTCGGAAACCTTACGCCCGTGATTAGAGATGCTGTTGTATACTTGTGTATGCACCTGCTCAACTCGTGATGCATGCTATGCAACTGTTGTTTCAATGTGTTACCAAAAGAGGCTGCTCGTATGCGCTTCTTTCGCAGCAGCGACAGCAAGCTGACGGCGACCACGGTAACATCATCAAGATTCTTTGGGCCCCGTGGATTTCCGAGAGAACCATGGGAAGCTCGACGAGCATCGAGGTGCGCAAATGTCTTGATATCTCTTGGGGAGGCACCCTTTACCTCCAACTGCTTCCGCGGACCTCCCGTCGGCTTCCGCCAGCGGAGCCGTCCCCGTTGTACTTCTGCTGGCCTCCCCCTGGCATTCCGCCACCTGCCACCGAAGGAACGAGGTCAATTTTGTCGATCTTTCGATCGTGAGGCCCGTTTGGGAACGTCCGATAGGATAGCCTTCGCGTTGATATGAATAGACAGTCTCTCCAGTTGTTATCGCATTGCCTTTTACATCATTGCGTTGCATCGCATGACGCGGTATGCAGATTGTGGCATAGCATTCTGATTGAGGATGGCGTCGGGTATCAACTCAAGTCGACAGCGTAACATATCACCATGCGCGTCGTGCGACCAGTTCCAGATCTGGATCTTCCGTGCTCCACGGTCCTCCGAGCACCGCCTCGGGAGCAGAAGGGCTACCGAGAGGAAATTCCGCTCTGCCCTCCAGCCAGGTGGGCGGCCTCGGCTCTGGCTGGCTGGGTTGATCTTGATTGCCGATGCCCCGCCAGCTTGCAGCTGCCCCCACCCTGCCTTCCCCCTTTCCCCTCCTCTTCCCCCCCCTTTCCCCTCCTCCTCTTCCCTCCCCTCCTCCTCTTCCCTCCTCCTCTTTCCTCCCCCTTTCCCCTCCTCCTCCTCCCCTCCCCCAGACGAACAGTGCAACACATCAAGCATACACACATCTACACACACAAATTGGGGCCCCGCGGCCCCGGCGCGCGGCCACGGGGCGCAGACCGTCGGCTGCAGGCAGGGAAGCGCGCGCGTCTACGCCCGGCCGAGCGGTCAGAGACCGTCTGGCGTCCCACAGCCAAACACACGTACGGTAGGTTTGCGTCGTGTCGACCAGCGGCGACCCCAGCGCGGGCGTTCAAGGTTGAACGCCGCCGGCGACCCAGAATCGATCGATGTTGAACGATCGGACGTTGCAGCAGCGGCCGATCGTTCAAGGTTGAACGATCCAGCGCGGTGTCAAAATCCAACGCCGAAGTCGGCACGACACGGACCTGCCGTACACACATACACAGTTTAATGTCGGACCAGCATAATGTCGGACTTTAAATTTTCGTGTTGGTGCACGGTGCTCAGGGTCAGATACATAGAATCCAGCAGCTCAGGGTTGTGCTCGATAGGAGTTGGATTCCTGACCGAAGTGTTTTAGGAATTCCAGTGGTGCATCTCTGTCGCCTCCGGGGGGAATATTAGCGGAGCCCGTTTGGGGTGACGTTAACCCGGCCGGCGTTTTTCAGATTTGGCTTATTTCGAGTTCGAGCCTTCATCCAATGTGTGCGGTGGAAAAAAAAAACACACGGACACATGTATCGGAGGCGAGGGGGTAACATCGCAGTGAGACGGAGGGCACCCCATCGGGGAGTCGGTTTCGGTTTCTTGTTCGTGCCGTGCGTGCGGGCGAGCCGAAGCTGCGTGGGCGGGCGAGAAGAATGAACCCTTCTCTGGCCAGGGGGCCGCCAGACCAAAAGACCGCCACCCCTCAGGTTGTCCGATGGTGGCCCGTGGTGTCCCGCGAGTGTCCCGCCGGTGTCTGTCGGTGTCCTCTCGGCATCCCGTCGGTGTCCCGTCGGTGTCCCGTCGGTGTCCCATCGGTGTCCCGTAGTGAGATCTATCATGAGATCGGTAGTCAGTAGACCGATCGTTAGATTTATAGTGAGATTGATAGTGGCATCGGCAGTAAGATCGATATTTATATCGATAGTGAGACTGATCGTGAGATCGATCATGAGTTCGATCGTATGGTTGATGGTGAGATCGATCGTGATATCTATACGACCACCGTTAGGCTGATAAGGAGATTTCGGGGGGAAAGAGCCAACCGAGGACAACTGCGATGATTGGTGATAGTGGCGATGCTGGTGATGCGCTCACGAGTTGGCGACGAATGCTTGATGGCAATGGGCTAACACACTCGCAACGCTGGCGGAAAAGCATGATGGCAACGACGACGGTGGCAATTGTTTGGCCCCATGCCCCTTTGACGATGACTGCGGCGATGACGAGTGGGGCACCGATGGGACACCGACGGAGCGACGGGACACCGACGGGACACTGACAGGACACCGACGGGGGACATCGACGGGACACCACGGCAGGACACCCCGGGCCACTGCCCGCGGACACCGACGGGACACCACGGCGGGACACCACGGCGGGGCACCACTGCACGCCGGCCCACCGGAGGGGCGGGTTTTTGTCTGGACCCGCCCCAGCCACAGCGGAGTCAATCCTCTCGCCCGCCCACGCAGCTTCGCCTCGCCCGCACGCACGACACGAACCCGAAACCGAAACCGATTTCTCGATGGGGGGCTTGTCATTCCACTTCGATCTTACCTCCCAACATCCGATCGATAGTGTGGTCGATCGTGCGTTTGATAGTGAGATCGATAGTTAGATCGATCGTGAGATCGATCGTAATATCGATTGTGAGATCGATAGAAGGATCGATAGTGAGATCGATAGTGAGAGCCATGGTTAGATCGACATTGAGATCGATCGTAAGATCGACAGTGGGATCGATAGTGAGATCCATAGTGAGATCGATAGTGATACCTGTACGAGCGCCCTTTGGGTGACACGGAGATTTGGGGGGGGACGGAACCAACGTCTCACTCTATCGATCCCAGTCTAGCGATCACACTACCGCTTTCACAATCTACCTTACTATCGATCTCGCCATCGATCTCACTCTATCGATCTCACTCGATCGATCTAACTATATCAGTCTTAGTCCACCGACCTTGCCCTATCGATCTCACTCTAGCGATCTCACGCTATCGATCTCGCTATCGATCTCGCAGTCGATCTCACTATCGATATCTCTAGATCGCGGCCACAAGTGGCATACCGTGGAAACACCATCGGAAACACCACCATCGAGGGCACCATCGACAAAAACATCAGGACACCAAAGGGGCACCAATCGGGACACCGACGTGACGCCGGCAGGACACCGGCAGGACACCAACGGGACACCGACAGGACACCCACGGCGGGACACCACCGGGACACCGACAGGACACACACGGGACCCCGACGGGACACCGACGGGACACCGACGGGACACCGTTGGCCATCGCCGCGGACACCGACGGGACACCACAGCGGGACACCGCGGCGGGACATCTCTGGCCACGCCGGCCCACTGGAAGCGCGGTCGTTTGTTTTGCCCCGCCCTAGCCACGGTGGGGTCATTCCTCTCGCCCACCCACACAGCTTCGCCTCGCCCGCACGCATGACACGAACCCGAAATCGAGATCGATTTCTCGGTGGCGGGCTCTCCGTTCCACTTCGATCTCACCCCATAAACCTCCGATCGATAGTGAGATCGATAATGAGATCGATAGTGTGATCGTGTGAGTGAGACGTTGGTTCCTCCCCCCCCGAACCTCGTTATCACCCGAAGTGTGGTCGTATAGGTACACACACATATACACCATAAGTTTTCCCCGCCTCGCCTTCCACGGCATTTCCTTATTTCCGTCCCTCTCTGTCCTCCCTCCTAATTATTTGTCTGATCCCTCTGCCGCATTCCCATTGTCGCCTCGGCAGGATGAGGGTGTCGTCACTCGTCACGCGCTTCCTCAACCGCATACTGATGCTCGACGTGGACCTCCAGAATGCAATCTTTGAAGGACTTCAAAATTGTGTAAAGGTGGGACAGGAAGATGTTGGGAATGATGGTGAATATGGCGATGGTAGCGATGATGATAACGACTACTATGTCGACGACCTCTCTCCACCGCGAAGGACCCTCGACCAGAGGGATAAGGGCCCAGACCCCCGACGTCATGATTTTGTCACGACGTCGACCCCCAGAGGTCTGGACCCATTCCCCGGGACCGGCTTCTCATCCCGAGTCGTTTTTCGACGCTTCCGAGGCCCGGCGAGGGCCTTTGGAGGCCGAGAATTGCGAAAAACCTCCTTCTGGATTTTCTCAATGCGTTGGATTTTTTTGGGGAGAAACGAAGGAGGCAGGAGGCCCGCGATGCCCCGCCCCCCGCGGCTCCGCCGGCCAACCGCCAGACCGCCCGCCCGTGGCCGCGGGCGCCGGGCACCCCGCCGCTCCCGCTGGAGGAGCGCCCGGCGTGCCAGGCCCGCGCCCCTCGCGCGAGGTGCCCGGCTGGAGGTCCCTGGGCTCGAGCCAGGCCTGTCTCGGCTAGACGTAAGAGTGACCCTTCGCCGGAGTGACCTTTGGTGCGGGCACAGATGGGGCCCCCCGATCGCCGAACGCGAGGCGGCAGCGGCGTCTTGCGCGCTTGTGTTTGGCTCCCCCGCGGCCCCCAAAGAGCCGCGCACCAGAGGTCACTCTTACCCAGGGTCACTCCTGCGTGTAGCCGACTGTCCCTCTGCAGCTGCCAGTGGTGGGCGGGCGGCGGCGGCTCGGGGGACATCTGCTCGAGCGGTCCGCTGCTGCGAGGGGCACTTGATGGGCATGCGTTGCCTGCGGCGGCGTGTGCGCACGAGGCTCCGGATGCCGGCGGGTTGGGCAGCCGGTTGGACAGCAGGGCAGGCGCCGCGCCTGGCTGCTGCCAGACAGTCAAGCGCGCCGAGCTCTTGGCGTTGGAGCAACACGTCATGGACTGCTGTGCTTGGTGGCGTGAGGCCCATGACATCACCGACTCGATGTACAGGTTCTTGTGAGCCCTCGCGGCGGCCTCCCACGAGATCCTGCGTGTCCTCGCACGCCTGACTGTCTGCGCTGCCGCAGCACTGCCAATGCCGATGGAAGGGGGGTCTCCGGCACTCCAGCGTCCCACCGCTGGCACAACCCGTCAGCCTCGGCAAGGCCCGCGTCGATGAGCCGCTGCCGCGACCAAGAGCCTCCGGTGGCAACGCACATGTGCGTACCTCTCCAGATAGCCTTGTGGAAGTCGATTAATGGAGAGGAAGCATGCTGCCAAATAATTTCCAGATGTCTAAAAGATGTTTCAAGCATGTTTTTAAATCTGTGAAAACATGTTCGAAACATTTGTAGAACATGTTTTACACGCTTGAAACACATCCTTAATTCAATGATCGGATTGTTAGAGTGTCCATGGCCATGGCGTCCGCAACGATTGTCGCTCTTCCCCAGCGGCTGCAAAGACAAGCGCAGCTGCCAGGTGTCGCACCCGTCCGCCAAGCCTTTTCCTCGGTGGTGGCCCATCGACTTCTCGGCCGCCTCCAGGAGGCGTGGAGGCGTCGAGCACGGCGTCGTCTGGGTCCACGCGCATCTCCCAGGACCATCCTCGAGGAGGATGTGTCTGATCATGTCAACGATGATGTCGATGATGATAATGATGGTGATTGTGATGACGATGAGGATCATGCTGGGAACGGTTGCGAGATGAAAGCCAGGGCAGTGATAGCGATAATCCGAACATAGCATCACTGTGCGTGATGATCCATGGAGCACTTGCTCTTCTTTATGTGCCTGCAGCGCTCCTAGTTATCGTGGGTGATCGTTTTTTTTGCCCAGCCACGGTGTGTTTGATGTGTGTGGTCTCTCACGAAGGTGGCACGCTGATTAGTTGCCGTTGGATGAAAATCGCGGTGAGTGGGTCTCCGCTTCAGGCGATTTTCTGGCCATGGACGTTCATTTCCGGATCACACTTGAACGACTTTGTACACCACGAAACGTGCAAAGGAGGAGCCGCAACCTGTGGTTCAACCTACGGAGGGTAGACACAGCGTATACTCTGCTCTTTGGTTGACCGACTTGAGAATACTGGAAGGTGCATTCAAAGAGTGACTTTGCGATTTGGCTGCCCAAAGTGGGGTCTGCAGCATTACATGACGCAAGCAACCTACGTAAGGGAGCAGCAAGCATGGGTATCTCGATGGTGGCCCACAAGGTCGTCTGGCGCAACGTACGGCGCACTCTATGGTGCTCTGGAAAATATAATCAAACATGGACTTCGCGATAGGGTTTTCCAAACGGGTGTCTAGCGCCACGTGTGGCGCAATTTCTGACGCTGCCTATGGCAGATAGACTCAGCCATGGTATCGAGATCTCTTTGCCCGAAGGGGTATTTGCCTCAACCTACGGCGCAATCTATGCAGCACTCTATGGCACAACCGATGACGGGTTCGTTCAGTTGGCTGAGTCGGTGTCTGTCGCAACCTGCGGCGCAGCCAACATAAGTTATAATCAGCCAGTGGGAACTATGGCGAGCGCTGCTCCGGGTCTTCTTGTTGGGGAGGAGCTTCTTTCGACGGCTGTGTGGCCTGCCAGCGTAGTGGTGCGCACGGTGCCTGTGTGCCCAGATGCCTAGACGTTTCCGTCTATCTCCCGCCACTTCTTCCATCCCCTCCCTCGATTGCGACTTCTGGGAGATCAGTGTTAGCGTCGGCGCAGGCATATCTGTGGTCGGTAACCGTCCTGATACGCTTAACCCTGAGTAATACGGTTCAATCTTGCTTAGTGGCTTCGCAATCGAGCTTAGTAGCAGCCATTGGTTCCCAGGAGTCGCCTCCTAACCCTCCGCATCTTTTTCCCAAAACAGTCCTCCATGGGCGAGCCGAGCGGGCGAAGCACGGGTCCGACATTCAAAGTCACCTCCGGCTGGCGCGATTGGGCCTTGCACTACGATGTTGCCAGATGCCTGGCAGCGGCGGGCCGCTCATCCCCACTTCTTCAATGGACCGATGACTTGAGGACCGTTGGACCTGTGGGCTTATGAACTTGCGGACCTGAGGCCCTATGTGCCATGACTCCTCACAACCTCGTGGATGAGGTGACAGGGGAGGAATCGGGTGAGAAGGAGGAGGAGGAGGATGAGGAGGAGGAGGACACCAGTAAATCGAAGCTGCATAAACGCTGCTGCAGTAACCTCTCCCGTTCCAAATCACCTCCTCATGCGATTCTACGAGTCCTCCTTTTCACTACGGGAAGGCCTCCCCTTGAAAGAGCAGCACGGTTGTGCCTCACATCCTGGCGGGGGCCCCGTCTTGCAGAGGAGCTGCCCTGCATCTTTCTGGCGCGTCGTCAGGAGAGCGAAAGACAATGACCAATGACCATACAGTTCAACGAGGGGTCCAGCGATGCCCCCCTTTCGAAGGAGGGCCGCCCGCCTATCCGTGTAATTGCAAAAGTTTGCCCTTCTGATCGTGCGCTCCGAGGGAGTCTCAAACGATGGCTCCATTTTGAAAGAGAGGCCCCTTGGTTCCGTGCAGCCGTACGCGCGCTGAAGTTGCGGGTCCTCAACCCTTAGCGAAGTCTCAGGCGAGATTTCCCCCCCCAAAAAAGAGCAGTCCTCCATCCTGCTCCACGTTGCAGCAATACATGAACACGCGCGGCGCTGAGCCCATCACCCCATTTGAACGAGGACCAGCTTCCTCCGTGAAGATAGCGCAAACATGTAAGACTGGTGTGCGCGGCGCACGGCGAGAGCACCATTTTGAAAACGACCGCCCTTCCACCGTGCAAGCGCTGCAAACGTTGCAGGCGAGTGTGCGCGGCGCTAAGGCGAGAGCCACATCTTGAAAACGACTCCACCCTTCCATCCGTGACGATGCTGCGAACTTTTAAAAACGAATGTGCGCGGCGCCAGGGCGAGAGCACCAGTTTGCAGAGTATCGCCCTCCACCAGTGAAAGGGTTGTGAACTTATAAGACGAGTGTTCGCGGAGCTGAGGCGAGAGCCACGTTTTGAACACGGCTCCTCCCTGCACCCGTGAACATGTTGCAAATATTGAAGACGAATGTGCATGGAGCTGAGGCGAGATCCACATTTCGGAATTGCCTTTCTCCATCCGCGAAGCTGCTTCTTACTTTAAGAAGAATGTGCGCGGTGCGAAGGCGAGGACATTTTGACCTCTCCCTCAGTCCGTGAAACTGTTTCAAATGTTGACGGCGATTGTACCCTGCGCCAAGGCGAGAGCCATTTTTTGAGAGCGACCCCTCCTCAGTCCGCCAAGCTGCCCCAAACTTCATAGAAGAAGGTGCGCGGCGCGAAAGCGAGAGCCACACTCCCCCCTTCCATCGGTGTGAGGCGCGCTATGTATGCAGGACTGCGCCTGATTCTGCTTTGTAATGTTGCATGATCACGTTTGCTCTCTTTGTTGATTCAGTTTGTACTATTCTGTGTGAATTGACATGTCGGTCTGTTGATCTATTTTCCATTGCCTCACACGTTTGCCTTTGTTTGTTTCACACGCTTCTCATGCGTGGCGCTACGGCGCCCGCCTGCGACGCCCTATCTGGCGGCAGCTGCAGGTCCGATGCCCCTATGCCCTCCATCGGTGAAGCGGTCGCAGATGGCAAACGTTGTGGGTTGTGATCGGTGGGGAAGTCTCGGGCGAACCGCCCAGCCCGCCCCCCCGACCCCACCCACGGATCTGTTGCCACCTGTGTGGTGCAATCTAGGTGGTGCAATCTATGCGGCGCAATTGATTTTCACAAACGAGTTGACACATTCCACGCTTCTGCAAACATCCCGCGCACCCACGTGCAATTTGGTTTGCAACATCCATGCGGTAGCGATTGCGCTGCACGCTTGGCGTTGGCTGGTGCATCTCTGCAGCCGCGCCAACCCAAACACGCGCGCGCAGCTGCCAGCTACTTTGGCGCGACCGACGCGGCCGCGGTGGTGCTGACGGTTGGGCACATCCCAGCGGGCACCTCATTGCGAGTCGGCGACTTGGGCGGGCGCGGTATCATGGCAACGTCGACAACCGTAGACACGATGATGATAGTAGCGATGCTGGTGACGATGTTGGCAACGACGACATCGCGGCCAGTGCGGGCGCCGATGTTGATCACGCTGGCGACGATGACGGCGTCCTCGCGTCAGTGATGCAGGTTTTGGAACAAGTTCGACATGCGCGCGCGGCCGACGCGCGAGAGTGACCCGCATGGTGATATTTGAGACGGACCGTGTCCCTCCCCCAACACGCGCGCAAGAGCGTGCGAATGATGTCGGCATGCGGCGCCAGAGGCCCGTTTGGTAAAAGACATGTTTTTGAAGA